CTTGCTGAGAATCTGCGTTCTTGTCACATCCCTCCTCTCTCTTGGAGCCACAAGCCTTTTAGATATTTACATGACATCAGCTTGAATCCGGGGTATTTCTCATGGCTCAGTCCAACTATGTGGTTGCCACAGACAAGGTGCTGACTTTATAAGCAGAATAGCTCATGGTGAGCATTTGAGCCCAAAGCTAAATCAGTTTATGAGCTGAGCAACTAAATGGTTCTTAACAACAGAGAATGGAAGAAAACCACTTGGGTCAATAGGGTACACCTACAAGTATACGCATGCTCCAACATTGTCTTAAGCTATATTTGTTTTGTGATTTACCTGATTTAATTATAGTATCCTCTAGTGGGTCCAGTAAATATCTTTTTGTATCCATACATATTCTTAATTTTTGCCTCATTTTTAGGAGGCAAGATCAGATTTTAAGTGCCACAACTAACTTACCTTTGAAAGTATCTTATCTATTTATAGGGAATACAGAATGTTGAATCTGGTTGAATGAAAGCTAAGTATCAGGTGTTCAGTTTTTTTTTTTTTCACCAACAGAGAATAATATATTGTATGTTTACTAGGAATTCCACAGAACGTTAAGTGAGTCACCTGGGTGTCCTTTGTTCTGTTGCTGTATTTGTAGGGGATAATATTAAAGCCATTTCAAATAAATGCCACAGGTACTCAGAGAGATTCAGCAGATGCCCATCAAGCAAACGGAAAGGTATACAGGGTGTCCCAAAAAAATGTATACACACTTTAACTTCTGATAGCTCAATTTTAAAAATGAAATGTACTTTAATAAGCACTGGCTTAATAATTATTCAAAGTGCATGTACACATTTTAGGGGGACACCCTATATATCAACTTAAATGCTTAGCAATTTTCATCTTCATTCCCTGAATTTTCTGTTGTTGCTGTTGATCCTCACCTGAGGATATTTTTCTATTGATTTTTAGATAGAGTGGAAGTGAGGGGGAGAGACACACAGGGAGAAACATTGATGTGAGAGAGACACATCTATTCGTTGCCTCCAGCAGGACCCGGTGGGGGCCAAGAATCAAGCTTCAACCAAGGTACGAGGTATGTGGCCTTGACCAGAATTGAACCCGGACCCTTCAGTCCATGGGCTGACCCTCTATCCACTGAGCCAAACTGGCCAGGGCCCTGAACTTCTGTAAGTTGTTAAAATTCTTTCACATGGTTATACTGGCAACATTCATTGTAGTTCAGAGCTTCTGATTAAGAAAGAACAGATAATTATTGGGCCATTAAGAAAGAATAGATAATATTGGGCCATTCCCTACAGGCCCCAGTTTTTTTGTTGAAATTTCCTATTGTTATTAAATAAAGTATCATTGCTTGCTATTTTCCAAACTCAAAGACCTCTCATCAAATTAATACAATCAAATACCACAAAGATCAGGGGATACATAATTTACTCACTTTCTCATGGGAGTGGTAACCAATGAAGAAAGACAGAGGCAGCGAAGGCAGGTCTCAATTTTACAAATAGGTGTGATTGATGTAACCCTCACATTTCAGCGCTCCCTACTCCAGCTGGATACACCTCTCTCTATAAGAAGGGTGTGAGTCCTGCTCGGGGATAGAGAGGCAAGAAAGAGTGCAGGACTTTCTGACTTACTCTGTAGTGGGCATCAAAGGGAGAGTTGGTCATCTCTTGCATAGGGAGGGAAAGTGACCCACTGTCTGTGTGGGACCTGGCCAGTGCCCACCAAGCTTCCAGCACCTTCCTTCAGGGACATGGAGACAGGCAGAAACCCCTGCCATCAGTTCCCTAAAAGTAAATACCAGGGAGGGAGGGAGGGAGGGAGGGAGGGAGGGAGAGAGAGAGAGGGAGAGAGAGGGGGAGAGAGAGAGAGAGAGAGAGAGAGAGAGAGAGAGAGAGAGAGAGAGAGAGAGTCCTTATTCCTCCTCTCCCACAACTATTTTCTCCAAAATTGTAATGGTGACATTTGTACATAGAAACCCCTAAAAAAAAGTAGGCATCAATCAGTAATAATACTTTGTCTTCCCATCAGAATCCCCTATCACAGTTAAAAAGAATGCTCACGTAAAATACTGTTCAGGCATAAACTTTTGGTTTATCTTTTTGACATATACAATATCTGTATATTTGGATGCATTTTTTGCTCAAGTGACTACAATTAGTTAAGAACCCTCCAGGGGACAAACTGGGTTTATGCTATTCCATCTGGAAGTCCTTTGTGAATTAATTGTGTTGTTTTGTATTTTGATGAACTATAACCCATATTTTATTCACAAACATCAGAAGAATAGATAATAGATGAGTTCACCAAACAAATGCTTTTAAAAGTTCATTTCAGTCCTATGATTCTATAATTTTCATTATAAATTTATTATATGTTGTTGGTATACTTTGCCCAGTTTTTACAAACAAAACAAAGGAGAAGTTTGAAATAGTGATTCATATAATTTCTGTCAAATAGTGATTTTACTGAGCTAAGAAATTAACTATAAAATAGTAGTACAAAATCTTTTTCATAATTGTAAAAGAGTATAATATCAATTTAGAGAAAAACAAATACACAGACACTAGCTCATAAAATATTATAGAATGAGCATTATTCTCATTTTTGATACTGTATTTAACATTATTTATTAAAATGATATTATGTAATATTTTGCCACATTAATTTAACACACAAAATGGGAAAATTATATTCTGGATAACTAAAAGTGTGTCTTGCTACAGCTCCTTGTACATGGGCAAAGGAGAAGTAGCATTTTCATCTCAGAATTATTCCAGATCCTTCTAAATAATTCTGAGTTTATACAAATTTTCTAAGTCTGTTTATTTTTTTTTATTACCTTAAAAATATTTTTTATTTCAGAAAGGAAGGGAGAGGGAGAGAGAGAGAGAAACATCAATGATGAGAGAGAATCATTGATTGGCTGCCTTCTGCACATCCCACACCGGGGATTGAGCCCACAACCCATGTATATGCCCTGACCAGGAATCAACCATGACCTGGTTCATAGGTCAATGCTCAACCACTGAGCCATGCCGGTTGGGCTTGTGAGCTTATTTTAATGCAATTCTAGATCAATGTATGTGTGATGGCTTTGTTTTTCTCATTTAAAACAACTTCTGAGTAACTAACAAATCTCTTTTGAGGGCAGCTGCCATGGTCTCTACAGTGAAAGTGTCTCTTTTTTTAAAAATATATTTTTATTGATTTCAGAGAGGAAGGGAGAGGGAGAGAGAGATAGAAACATCAATGATGAGAGAGAATCACTGATCGGCTGCCTCCTGCATGCCCGCCACTGGGGATCGAGCCCGCAACCTGGGCATGTGCCCCAATCGGGAAGTGAACCGGTGACCTCTCGGTTCCTGGGTCGACGCTCAACCGCTGAGCTACACCCGGCTGGGCGAAAGCGTCTCTTGAAGAGTTCATCTATTTAATTTTTTCCTGTTTTATTTCAAAGTCACTAGATTACTTTCCTTTTAGTTAAATATATTATTATATTAAATAAATCTATGTATCCCATTATCCTTGAGGACTGTGGCTTCATAGTGTTATGATCAAGCAGTCCCATGAGTTTGCTTGGTAACACATAGTTAACTAAGGGCTATTAACCCTAATGGAGGGGAGTCTTGCTTAGCTCCACACAATCTGGTGGAAGAGAAAGTCACCAAAAGGATGATAAGATAAGAAAGTCTATGAAAAGCAGGAAAACAATGATTAGCAGAAGGACATCTCCACAGGCCTCATCCATGCCTCATTTGCATTTGAGTAACATAAGACTATCACTTCCTTTTTCATACACAATCTTACCTTCCAAAATATACTACTATCTACTGTCTAATCACAATCTGAACCAATTTCTTCAGACAGAATAGTATATCAATATTTAAATAATTTATAAAATAATGTCCTGGTATTGAACTTGTTAGTTCAAAATCATTTTTATAAGAGATAAATACTTCACTAAATTATATTTTCACCAGGGAGAAATTTTGAAAGCATTTTTTCTATATTTATGTACAAGAATTATAAATATTCTATACTTTGTGCTTTGTACCTTGTAACTTGCTAGAAAATAGACCATCATGCTAGTGTTGCTTTATTATTGGAAGGTCCACATACGCTCAGAGCTTGATTTCCCCATACAGCTTTGGAAATGAGAATGTCAATCCATATAGTAACTAATACAAATGTATACTAAAGCTAAGGCTCATTTAAATTTTATCCCACAAATATTTTAATGATGGAAAAGTCATTATACACCCGTAACACCCTTGCCAGTGTAAACCACGTTCTTTTCAAGAACAACTACCATTTTTCATCATTTATTTAATTGAATCATAATGCACTATATTTTTATAGCAGCCCCATGTAGCATAGTCAAGTTACTTTTTATCATGGTTTGTTTCCAGTTCATGCCAAATAAACTGTAATTCGCACGTTATCATTACCAAAGATTCAAATGATGTAAAATGTGGAAGCTCTATGGGATTTATTGCATGCTAATATAGTTGGACCTTTGAAAGTTTCAGTATAATATTAGACGTTATTAATCTTGATAAACTGATTTGAATAACTTTGATCATATTAGTTTTTAAGATATTTTAATAGCATGGTTCCTTGTTGCTGTGAAGATGGCCTCTAGGGAAATCAACTGACTTTGGGGTATTCAAACTTCAGTGGTCAGTATGAGGTGTCCCCAGTTTACACCTAGATACAGTATTTTTGTTAACCAACCCTTTACTAAAACTGACGTCTAGACTTTAGATCTAGGGACACTATAAAAACAACAATATTTTGGTGGCATAATCATATTACATTATAGAACTTCAAATATCAATGGCCTGGATTGGCTTTGTTTTAGTCAAAACAGCCTCACGAACCAGCATTGAAAGAACTTTGGGGAACAGTAGCACCTTTTCTGCCCTCTTCCTTTTTGTTTCTTACCAGCAAAACCTGGCAAAGCTAAAGGCTTTTTTTCCCCTTCACAGGTTTGGGATGAAAATCTTGCAAAATCTGCTGAGGCCTGGGCCGCCACCTGCATTTGGGAACATGGACCTTCTTACTTACTGAGATTTTTGGGCCAAAATCTCTCTGTGCGAACTGGAAGGTAGGAAGCGGTTCTCCTGGCACCCTTTATGTCCACACAGCGTCATTGCTCAGAGACTCCAACGGGGGAGTGACACCAATTTCAAGTCATCTCAGCAACTGTTGATTGAGTGCTTGCTATGTGCCAGGCACAAGTGCTGGACCCCTGGCTGTTCTAGATATCTTCAAGGAGTAATTGGTTCAAAGGACCTAATACGACCAGTTTCCCATTTCACCCTTGAAGCACCCTCCCTTAGCCTGCATTCTGCACTTACATCCCAGAAGCTGCGAAAGGATCAGCATGTGCTTATACCACTGGTCAGCAAACTCATTAGTCAACAGAGCCAAATATCAACAGTACAATGATTGAAATTTCTTTTGAGAGCCAAATTTTTTAAACTTAAACTATATAGGTAGGTACACTGTTATTAACTTAATTAGGGTCCTCCTAAGCTGGCCTTTGCTAAAAACGTCCTCAATCTGAGGGGTCGACCTCAGCGAACGTACCCCCACTTCTTCTAACGCCATTTCTTCAAAATAGACTCACCCAGACCGAAAACCAACTTCTGCGCATGGGCCACAAAGTTTCAATCACACTGTATGTGCGTGCCCGCGCGTGGTATTTTGTGGAAGAGCCAAAGAGCCGCATGTGGCTCACGAGCCGCGGTTTGCTGACCTCTGTGCTATACCCCGTATCTTGTCTCTTCTACCTCAAGAAAATCCTGACAATGGCAGAAGCCATTCTTGTGTGTCTGCAACTTTTTCCTGGTTGCATATATCTCTGTTATAAAAATTATACGTATTCATATATATATACATATATACATACACACACACACACACACATATGTACATACACACCTATCTGCAAGTATATGCAACTATGGAAAAGCTGTTCCCAGTGATGGGATAATTTTCCTGCCACTGTGCAATGTCATCATACAACCTTCCAAAGGCCCAGTCTCTTGCATGTTGGGGGAAAAAATCAGGTGTCCTATTATTAAAATTAAAGTGATATAAGTTTAAGAAAAAACCCCACACTGAGTTCTAGTATAATAATTACTTCTAATATGTCAACTCTTAATTGTGCATAAGATTCTGATGGAAGAAATTTTTGACATAGATAAAACAAGATAAAATGATAAGTCCCGAAATATCTACATGTCTGTTTTTGAAACGGTCAGATGTAAACTTATGCAAATATAGGATCACTTGATCCAACTCTGGGCTTTTTTATGTTGGTCCTACTTGAAGGAATAGAGGATTCTACAGGGTGGTGATGGTAATTGTAAGGGGTGGGCATGCTCTTGATTCATTGTGAATAATCTGCATAATGAACAATTAACTTACAATTTAACATGAGCCTGCCATGTGTTCTAAGTTCTCATTGTTTATCTTGATATCTAGATATCGCTCTATTCTCCAGTTGGTCAAGCCATGGTACGATGAAGTGAAAGACTATGCTTTTCCGTATCCCCAGGACTGCAACCCCAGATGTCCAATGAGATGTTTTGGCCCCATGTGTACACATTATACACAGGTTATTTCAACTTTCTTGTTAATTTTGGGGTCATACTTTTAAAAAATGGTCTTAACTATTTTTTAAAATTTACCTTTATTGTTTAAAGTATTACAGACGAACCCTTTCCCCCTCCACTGACCCCACCTCCCCACTCTTGCTCCCTCCACAGCCCTTCACGGCGTGATTGTCTGTGTCCGTGGGTTATGCATATATGCATATACATTTTTTGGTTAATCTCTTCCCCACCCCGCCTTCCATCTGAGAATCCTCACTGTGTTGCATGCTTCCATGTCTCGGGACCTATTCTGGTGAACATGCGTGTTCTGAGCTTTGGCCTCAGTAATGGTATATTGGTTTGTTCCTGCAGATGGTTTGGGCCACCTCCAATCGGATCGGATGTGCGATTCATACTTGCCAAAACATGAACGTGTGGGGAACCGTGTGGCGCCGTGCAGTGTACCTGGTGTGCAACTATGCCCCCAAGTAAGTCCCAGGTGGCCGGCTGCTTCCTCGGACCTTTCATGATTATTCAATATCTTCAGTCTGTTGGGTATTTTTTTTCTTTTTTTTAATGTGCCTCTTGTTACCTTAATGAGGTGACTTTTTCTTTTTATTGATTTCAGAGAGGAAGGGAGAGGGAACGAGGGATAGAAACATCAATGATGAGAGAATCATTCATCAGCTGCCTCCTGCACGCTGCCTACTGGGGATGGAGCCCACAACCTGGGCATGTGCCCTTGACCAGAATCAAACCTGGCACCCTTCAGTCCTCAGGCCGATGCTCTATCCACTGAGCCAAACCAGCTAGGGCAGTCTGTTGGGTATTTTAATATGAGTGGGACTTAAATACAAGGGCCTCTGATCTTGAATCCTTCATTATTCTCATAAACCTGACAAAATGAGCTGAAAGGCTTCTTTGCACAAGGAGAAGGATCCTGGGCCAAAACTGGTGGCAAAACAATCTGAGTATGGAGATTCACTAAATTCTCCGCACGGTCTTTCCTTTGTCATGGCGATTGTAAAATAAACTCTGTACTCCCAGGCTTTTGATAGCTACATGAAAAGGCATCAGAACATAATCTTCTAGGGAATTTATCAACACCATGATATTCCCACCTCTCAGTGCCAAAATGTCAACTTACTTTTTTCCCTAGGAAAGCAAAACAAGCCTTTCTTCCTTCTTTGTTTTAAGAGTAAAATTGAAAACTATAGTTTATTCATTCCATAGATGACTAGGGAGGCATTCAATATCAGAAGGGGAGATTTACAAGCTATGACTTCTTTTTCAATTGAGGCTTTGCCATGATTGAAATTTCAGTATTAAAAAGTATTCAGTAATTTCATCCTATGGCACATATGAAAATATTGTGAAACTGATTACAGCTTCTAAAATATGGACATATTTATGAACTTTTTTTGCAATAAATAAGCATGCGTTAACATTCGGGAAAATGCCTTCTTGATAACAATAACTCTTCAGCTGATAAAAGATTGCAGTTTATTCATGAGTCTGTTCCCATTTGGAGTAAATACCAAAATGTGCAAAGGATTTATGACATTCTTGGTGTTTTCCAAAGTAAGTCCCAAAGATTTTCTCTAGCATTGCCAGTATGGGGAGGGAATGAGAAAATGTTTCACAGACAGCTGCATTACTCATGTGTGTGGTAGTATGCCAGTGTTGTTGCAGAGTTAAAGAAATAGCAATTTCCCCGATGGACCCCTCTTCACAATTACTAGAAGAATAAGATTTGGAAAGTAGAATGTGTCTGCTTTATGAAAAGTATGGAACTGTGCATTTGACTGATATTTTCAGTCTCCTTATATTTTCCTGTTAAGCTTTGACCTTTCTTTCTGACACAAAGAAGCCAAGTGTCCTCCCCAGATGATGAAAGACATTTTTATTTTATTCATTTAACTTCTCTGTTTTGGGCCAATGACTAGAATTTCTCATACTATCGATGAAAGATTTGATTGTTTTATGGGTCCAGGAGATTAAGATATTGTGTTCATATGCTATATTTGTTGTAATAAAAGACCATTATTTTGAAACCTGGGGCAATGAAGAAAGTTTTCAAATCCTGGCTGATATGTGAATATGATTCTTCTAATGCCAGTGTGAAGTTACCTCAAGCCTAATCGTTTTTCAGGGTAAAAAGTAAGAAGGGATGGGGGAGACAGAGACAGGGAGGGAGAATTTAGTTACATGCACTAGGACAAAACAATAAAAGAATAAATAATAGTTTTATTAGTTGGCAGATTTACTAATGAACACAATTAGTTATTCTCTATTTGACAAAAATCTGTGATTTATGTAAAAGTACATAACGTAACATATAATTATTACAGATAATAAAATTGTACTTCTAAATTAATGTTACCAAAATATGTGCTATATAACTTCAAGAAGTATGTATAGTAAAAAGAAAAATGTCAAATTAAAATAGCATAATCTTGATAAAGATGTAGCTTGGGTAGAGATACCTAGAGCAATACAATTTTGAATAGAGGACGGGGGAACTTAGGACCCAGGTGAGGGAGCTGCACTCACCAGCGAATGGGGCCCCTGGATGTTTCTGAGCCAGCTTATGGCATCAGAATTCCGCCTGAGGAAGCCTCTCTGGAGGCCAGAGTGTAGAACAAACTAGATTTGGCGGGCAGTCTTAGGATCTCATCTCGTGTTGTAATATGAGTCGTTAATCAGCAGGTTTTACATGTGTGTACATAAATGTTTTATAGATAAGTGTGAATTTTTAACTGACGTTTAAACTGAGACCTTCACGCCCTATAGAGACAGGCTCTGAGTCCCTGCTTGGTCTTGTTCAGGTCTTAAATAAAGACTCGGAGAACCACCTGTCTCATATGCTAGCCTCTTACCTACTGTCGTCTGATTTTCTACCCTGACTTTTTATTATTGACAACCAGATTTCTCCTGAACAGTCAAGTTCCTTCCCATTGTTGGCTATATTGCTATTTCCCAGTACTCTAGTTACTAACACCAGGCTATGAAAGTGCATTTATTACTCTTTCCTTTGTAATTGCAGGACCTAAATAATAGTAGGTAACAGTAAGGTAATTCTCCTAATAGTGAACTGATGTATTATTTTGATATTGGTGATCAATACAGATAAAGGAAAATATTGAGAACAGAAAGTAATTCAGTTAAATGTGTTTATTATCAGAAAATGAATAGCATTACTATAAAAAGGTCTAGGAGTGTATTTATGGGAAAATTTTTTTAAATCACCTTTAATTGCTTCTGTGGGCCATCATTCTCTTACTACAAAAATGGAGTTTTCTATATCTCATTTTATAAATAATGAGAATCTACAATATTTTACAAGTTTAGGAACAAATTTTGTGAACATTTATAACTTTTGGTGTGTGCTTATGACAACTTTTTGTTCATTTAATCATTTCTAAGCCTCCCAGAAATGATGACATGAGTAGGAAGTTGTCATAAGCACCCAAAGCACTTGTATGCATGCATATAAGCACAACCAACAGATGCAAGACACTGGGAAAAGGGGACGAGGGCGAGTGGGGTGTGGGGGGGGGTAGGGGGGGCCGGGGGGAGGTCAGTGGGGAAAAAGAGACATATGTACTGCTATTTGTAATACCTTAAACAATAAAATTAAAAAAAAAACTTGCATAGCCATGTAAAAAAATATCAATGAAAGTTTTGGCCAAAAATGTGGATTAAAAAAAAAAAGTGAATCTGGCCTATGTGCTTCAGAGGATGGCTATGGGAAAGAGACAGATGCGGTGAATTGAAATGAGCATTAAACCTGGTGTCAGATGACTAATGATGTCACTACTCATTGTAGTGAGTCACGTATCACCTATAAATTAAGATACTATTAATTCAGAGAGAAAGTGTTTTAAAAGTAAGATATATAAATAAGTTACTGTATAAATAAGAAATGGATATAACTTTGAGTGCCTTTCCAAAAATGACAAACTTCTCAAAAAAAATCATCATGTCAATACATGTGATCATGTGCTTAACAACGATAAAAAAAATTTTTATTCTCATCCCATGATATTTTTTCCATTGATTTTTATTTTATTTTATTTATTTTTTTAGAGAGAGAGAGCAAAAGGAAGGGAGGAGCGGGGGAGAGAGAGAGACACATCCATTGGTTGCCTTCTGCAGGAGCCCGTCTGGGGCCAGAAATCGAACTGGAAACTGAGGATGTGCCCTTGACCAGGAATTGAACCTGAGACTCTTTGATCAGAAGGCTGACCCAACGCTCTAACCACTGAGCACTAGCCAGGGCAAAAATAAAAAAATTTTAAATGAGCAAGTAACATTAATGCTACCATTTTTTTCTTTTTCTCTCTAGGGGCAACTGGATTGGAGAAGCGCCATATAAAGTAGGGGTACCATGTTCAGCTTGTCCTCCGAGTTACGGGGGATCGTGTACTGACAACCTTTGTTTTCCAGGAGTAACGTCAAACTACCTATACTGGTTCAAATAAGCTTACCGGCTCTTCCAGGAAGTTGAATGCTTTCTGGGAATCATAGGTCTATATATATATTGAGTTTTGCACATATTATACATATTTTATAACAATCTTGTTTTCCTTTTATTAGTCCTTGTATAAATTAGTGTTTGTCTAGTATGTTTGTTTAATCTTTTGAGGTCATCAGAACATCCATTTCTATTTTCTGATCTCTAACCCTAAATTAAAATATTGTATAGGTAGTATTGATATCGTTGATGCATCCACTTCTAAAACTTGCTTTCCAAAAGAATTATATTATGTTCCTACGGCATAAAAAATCTAGTTGATCTGTAGGGTATGTGTGTGCATATGTAGACATACACATGTATATGCATTTATATGTCCATATTTACACACACACACATAATAGATGATGTAACACATTGCTAATAATATGATTCAGTAGTAAACTGAAGGGAAACTTAAAATATTCTATTCAAAATATATGTGAGGTGGTGGGACATGTCCAGCACCCACCTCTGTAATAGCCACAAAATAATAGTTTGCAAAATAACCCTCAGTGATATCAGGACATAATAAATTAATTAAGCAATCCCAGATTTCATTCTGGAGACATTTTTTTCTTATTTGGGTTTACGAAAGGTTATGCTCCAACTATGTAAGCTTCAAATCCTACCTTTTACTTAATCTCTTCTGGTTATGTTCTCATAATGCAAAGATAATGAGATTTGGTTCCTGCCTTCAGAAGCTCACAAAAATATTCAGGAAATGATACAGCCCAATGATTTGGCTGCACAATTATTCTTTGTTAACGAATGGATGTTCACGTAGCTGTGAGGAAGTGAACACAACAGCGGTGTCCGCCTGTAGGTGGAACAGGGGATAAGCCACACTGTGGGGTAGGTAAGGCTCCTGATTAGCGTGGCATTTTAGCTGCCGTGCTTGGAACCAGAAGAGGCAGGAAGGAATTAACAACTGCCCAGAAGGTACTGGATTGGAGTAGACAGTTGTGCCTTTGGCAGAAAGGCAGAAAGCTAGACCCTAAGAACACTGAAGAGGCCCAAGAGAAGTAAGACTGGGGAGACAGATATGAAAGTCACAAAAACTCCAGGTGCAGAGCTGCGGGAGGGCCTGTCCTGAGGGCCTGGTGTATCGTGAGGTCTGTCAGCAGGAGGGAAAGGACCAGAAAGAAACACCTCGGTACCAAGGACACTCCACTGCTTCACTGTGATTGTGGGACTTCGGGGCTCATATGAAAGACCCTGGGTGCCCACCACAGACAGCAATGACGTGTTAAACAGCCCCCTTCAGAACGACTTTCTGAGGACGAGTCACCAAATTTTACGTCTATGTAGACGAATACTTATCAGTTGAGTTCTCAATTAGGAGCTCAAAATAACCATGAAAACTTCATTCGTGTGATTTTGGAAAGGCAACATTTCCTCATTCAGGAAATTGCTTTCAGAGGAAACTCAATTATCTGGGCCAAGACACTTAATGCTATATACCGTGTGTGTGTGTGTGTGTGTGTGTGTGTGTGTGTGTGTGTGTGTGAGAGAGAGAGAGAGAGAGAGGAGAGAGAGAGAGAGAGAGAGGAGAGAGAGAGAGAGAGAGAGAGAGAGAGAGAGAGAGAGAGAGGGAGAGGGAGAGAGAGAGAGAGATGCTTAGGTTGTATAATACTTCCATAGAATTTCTGACTAAGAAAACATGGTTAGTTCCAGAATGCAAATAACAGGAGGAAGCTACTTGTTTAAAATTCCCTGCACACTTGCAGTTTCTTAGGGTGGCTGCACTGAGAGGGTAGATAGTTAATTAAATCCATTCAATGCGGGAGGAATGCCCACCTGGAGTTCTGATGGACACGATGACAAATAATTGGCCTGATTCCTGTTCCAAACTGGATATGGTGACCAAATGTTTTGACATCCTATTACTCTGCTTCTGTGGGCACCTATATAGACTTTATCAAAAATACATATTTTGGAGACTTAAATGAAGGATAGAAATGATCATATGGTTCAGGCCCCAATTCAAATTTTATCTAACATGCAATAGGTAGTTGGAGACAAATCTCATTGGTAGGATTTTGGCTTGATTTCTGTAGAAAGTGTTTTCCATCCCTGATTTTGCTGCACAGAAGTAGAAAAGTACTATTCAACCGAAAATGACCATGCTTAGTTCCAATTCTGTTACTGGTTTACTCGTGTAGCTTGGTTTCTTAGTTTTAAAAATGAACAATGATATTTGCTTCACATTTCACAGAGGTCCTTAGGAAGGTAAAATTATCATAGTAATAGGATTTATGAAGATTAAATTATCATTAATGTGAAACTTTTCATTAAAAGTAAGTTTTTTGTGAGCTTTTCCTTGGCAGAAACTCTAATTCTTTGCATTTATCTCAGCTTCTTATACGTTGGCTGTAATGTAATAAATGTTTCTATGAATGGATTTTCAGTATTAACTAAAAACTCTAGAACTGCAACAATTTAGAGGAATCCCAACTTTCCATGTTTTATTAAGACAAAAATGTCTTCAGTACAAAGCTTTGAATGCATCAAAAATCCAGATGAATCATCAGACATATCAAATGAAGACTAAGGTCTACACACTTATAACTTACTCAGCAGTCTGTTCCAAATCATGGCTAGAACTAAGTTTATTTATAATTTAACAACTCAGCTAAAAATGTAACGGGTATATTTGTTTGTCTATCTATACTTTTTAAAGTTAGTAATATAATGTGGCCATGTAAAATGTTTTATTTCCCAGGCTAAAGCAAATGACAGTTTGCTAGTAGCCTGTCATATTTTTACAGCATGCAACAAAGGTGCTAGGATAACAATTTCTCACTGTAATGCCCAGAGGCAGGAAGGGTCTGGGGATAAGCTATTTTATAAGAACAGCTTTAAACAGTCAGTATTGAAGCTTTCATTTCAAAAGGTTTCATTCAAAAGATACAGTTATTGGCATACATATTCTACACCATGGATCCTCTCTATGGCATAGTTTTTTCATTTCCACCTTTTTTTTTTTAGTAAAAAGTAAAAAACAAAACCTGTCACATTATGTATTTTTTGGCTTTCATGTCATCAAAAGACTGGGAAAATGATAAATTTTGCTGTTAAACTGATGGATTCTTTGTAAAATTGTATTTGGGTTGCGTAGGCAACAGTCTTAATGTTCCTGGTTATGATAGATAAACTTGCTTTTACAATGTGGCAGAACCAGCATTTATTATCCCTTTTGCTTCTATCCAGCAATCAAAGTACCATCACTTCTTTGAGCCATCAGAGTGTCCCTACCAACTTCATTTGGAAGTGAGGTCATACTCACCGGAAACCATGGAAACAGCCATTTAAAGGCTCCAGGCAGCTTTGGCACAGAGTTGACCAAACACTAGGGCAAGTTCAAGCAATACAATTTACTCCAAACATTTGAATAAAAACCATATACATATACATACACACACACACACACACACATACACTCATTAAAACATGCTTCTGTTAAATCAACTTATAACATCTACATGAGCAAGTCTCGTACACATTTAGGCCAGTTTAAGTATTTTGTGTTCATCCCCTGCTTATCATATGAATGATAAGCTGAACAGGTCATTTGAATGTGTCCATAGAGGAGAAGTAATGCTCAGCCCGAGGTCTATGTTCTCCACCTTGTGTGACAACATTCCCCGGGTCCTGCGGTCTCAGAGGATGAAAATCTTGACATGGATGCAAGCCTTTATCTACTGAAGCATTTAAGGAAAGTAGAATTAGATTTCTACCAGTCTGACACTATCATTGCTTATGTATGATTTTTTAATATTGCCATTATATGTATGGGGAAAGACATGTTTAAACACATGCAAAATGATTTTTTAAAATTATGTCATGGTGTAACTTTGACTTATGAGAGGCCAATCAAAAACTTAGGAAGTTTAACAATAACTTGCTAATGGTGCTGAAAATGCATTACAACCACCAAAATTGTTACAATTTTGAGGTTTCTTTGCAATTAAAGTTTTTATTAAGTGTGAACTATCATTTATTTTGGTGCTAAAAATATGGTGCTAAATGAATTGTTAGTGTTAATAGCTTTCGTAAGGCTCTTTTTAGTCATTATTAAAAGTGTTATCCATTCAATTCCGATTTGGAAATAATAATAAAATCCTGTTAAATTAATCTTAACCAGAAACAGGCCAGTGAACTATATTTTTAATCTAAAAGCCCAAAATTATTTTAGTGTTACAGAATGTAAATTTATTATTATTATTTTTTTTTGAAGTTACTAATTTTCTTTTAAAGCATTTCTTAGCTTGGCAATGTCCAAATTCAAATATTGCCTAAAGGTTAAACACCTACACCAACCATACTGCAGACACTGGCGCCCTCTGGCGGTTGTAAAAACAAATTCTTGATGGCTACTTGGCCTGAAACAAAAAGCCCTTTCTTCTGTCCAATAAAAATTAAGCTGCATAATTTTAGAATTCTCAAATACTCTCTAAATCTGACAGTATTTGAAAATGCTTGACTCTTTTGACATACTTTTCTAAGAGAATAAGAGCGATACTATATCTTGGTATCGACTTTGCTAAATAAAAATGTTTTTCATGATTTTCCAGTTCTGAGGTGCTTATTACAATGTTGTTGTTTTTAACTAGGCATTACTAAAACATTTTTTATTTGGTTTACATTTTAAATACAATTAGATTTAAACTTAGCAAACAAGATCATAAGTGTGCTCCACTTTCAGAAGCAGTAATTTATTTTTACTTTGCAGAATGCATAAGATAAAAAGGAGATACGTTAAAAAAATTAATTCCACATAGGAAAGGATTATCTCCTCACCTGGACTTGTTGGTCTATAATGTGATAATGTTCTTTGATCACACTATTGAGCTAATAATACAATTTTAATATTCCATTCAAACTCCTTTTAGCCTAACAAATGTTTAGAATCACATCCCCTGTAACTAAATGGGCCGTATGCTTAGGCAAACTCTCAGGTGAGGTATGTAATCGACTGATGTGATCATCTGTTTGGAAAGAGATGTTTCTTAAACCATGTTAACATAACCTAATGAAATATGCTTTGAGGCTGTTTTCCAAATTAGTATTTTCAAACTTATTTTAAAGCAACAGAACCCTTTTCATTATCTCAATGACATACAGAGCTCTGACATTCAATACACAAAAAATGGATCTGCTATTCCCCACACCTTCCCCAGTGCCTTGGAAGTTTCTTCTGAGAGCCCCAGGATTCCATCAAACAGAAAAAAAAAATTGATCTAAATCATCCAGTACCCCAGCCCATTGTCTCTAAAATAATCAACGTATGAAAGAAACAAAGTTTGAGGCTCTGAATAATTCCAATGGTTCTTTTAAATACCCACATCACTTTGCAGTGTCAGAAAGCCTCTTATTTGGAGAATTAAAGGCTGACTTTAACTGGTGCTTGCTATAGATTACATCATCTTGTGTTACTTGACAAACAGAATGTTGGTACCATAATATTTTAAGAATTAGAGATAATTGTGATGCATATTTGAAAATAATGTGTTTTTAAGGTATCTAAATGTTTCAACTATGTACATAAACCTACCATATATTGTATCATTTTAGATATTTTTATTAAAAAGGTTAATTTGGATGAGTTTTATTCATTACCTAACACTGTGGCCATGTGTGGTGCCTGCAATGATGTGATATAATGTCATGAATGTGTACATACATAGAAGCGGGGTAAACTTCTGTCCTTATAAAGCTTATCATGAATAGCTTTTGGAACTCAGCTATATTGTTTTTTCTTTCAATAAAAGATTATAATTATTTGTTTTATTTTTTCATTTTTTTTGTTTTCAATAGAGTTTTAAAGTAGATTCAGAACTAGCGGGCATGCTAATTTTGATAAGCGATGATCTATTTTTCTAAAACAACAATGATTATTTTTTTTAACACATTACTAAAATACACATCTTTTTTCTCCTTTTCTTTCCTCCCATCCTTTCATTCTTCTTTCCTTCTTCCTTTCTTTTTCTACTTACACCTAAAATAACTATCAAGAAATTCTGGCTGAGGAAATTGCATGAGCTGAAGAGATATTTTCATGCTTCCCACAGGAAGGGCCTCGGGAGAAACCATTGTGGTCCTGGGGGAGAAGCACCAGCTGACCCAAGGCTGTGATTCCCAGGGTGGCTCTGCCTTGCACAAGGGTCACTCCTTTCTGATGCGATGGTAGGTCCCACCCAGTTCCTTGAGACAGACCGAATCTAGAACTGTAAATTCCTCCTTACCACAGTCCACACCAGGTGAGAAAGCCTCACAAACACAGGACTTTCCAGAGGGTCATCCCCAGGAGGCCTGAGGCAACCACTCAGCTTCTCTTGCTCCTGCTAGTCCTCCCTTCTCACTTCACTTTCTTTTTTTAATATAATTTTATTGATGTCAGAGAGGAAGGGAGGGGGAGAGAGGTATAGAAACATCAATGATGAGAGAGAATCATTGATTGGCTGCCTCCTGCATGATCCCTACTGGGGATCAAGCCCATAACCTGGGCATTGCCCTTTGACCGGAATGAAACCTGGGACCCTTCAGTCTGCAGGCTGACACTCCATCCACTGAGCCAAATCGGCTAGGGTTCATTTCACTTTCTCCTCTCAAGTCTCCAGGTTCCCACCCACATGTTTGGAAAGTTTCATCTATCTCCACAATGAATGAATACAGGGCTCCAGTGTGCGTGCGTGCGTGTGTGTGTGTGTGTGTGTGTGTGTGTGTGTGTGTGTGTGTGTGTGTGTGTGTTCAGCAGATTCCAGCCTCAGACAAGGCCTGATGGATACAAAAAAGTCTTAACCTCCTAGACTTGCACACCTCTGACGGTGCACACGTGGGGGGCATAGTGGGTACGTGGTCTCATTCCTTCACTCCTTCTTCCCCTCAGTGACAACTATGGGAGACAAGCACATGAGAAGCAAGCACACCCTTTCAAGGGCTTTCCCAGAAACAATGGACTAAGCTCTTGGGAGCAAAGCCTATTCCACTGTGGGTGACTCTGACCCAGTTCCTCCTGAGACAATCACCTGGGCATTGTAGTGCCAGGGGCACTGACTCCTTCCCGAGTCCTGCTTACACTGTTGAGCCAACACTGGTCCTGTCCTAGCCAACCGGAGACCCATCACCAGCCTGAACTGAATCTCTCGGGCCCAATTCTCACTGTTGATGAACGAGAATCAAGGACCTGGCATGTGGCCTTAATCTGTCACCCTGAGAATTTACATTTCATTCCCCTTTGACTTAGCAATTCCTCGTCCACAAATGCATTCCAGAGGCACACTGGCAATTCATAAAATGGCATGCATACATTAATCATTATAATGTCATTTGTACTGGTAAAGGGCCAGAAACAACTCAGAGGTCCACCAAGAGGGCGTGGACTGAATGATAGGTCCACATAAGGTGATTCTATGCAACTGAAATATGGAAGAAGAGAAATCTCTATAAACTGGTAGACAGAGGCCTCCCAGGACGATATTAAGTGAGGAAGCATGGTACACAGGAGTATAACTAGAATGCTACTCCTGTGAGAAAGCTTAGGGGGAATAATGCATATACATGCACACATGCATTTGTAATACATACCTGTTTTTATTTGCCAAAAGAAAAGTGGAATCGTAAACTTAAAAAGGATGAAAAATGATTATTTTTAGGAGTAAGAAGGAAACAGGATGGAGGGGACAGAAATATTTCCAATGACTTTGAAACAGTATTTTGAGTGCACAGCCTTAATGGAATATCTTGTAAAGGCAGAGTTGCAAAAAACATTTCTCTTCAGCAGTCTGCCATTAGCATTATTAGTGAGGGGAGGAGGAGTGGAGTAATGCAAGGAGGAAATAAGGCTATTTGTTTAGACCAGTGATGGTGAACCTTTTGAGCTCGGCGTGTCAGCATTTTGAAAAACCCTAACTTAACTCTGGTGCCGTGTCACATATAGAACTTTTTTGATATTTGCAACCATAGTAAAACAAAGACTTATATTTTTGATATTTATTTTATATATTTAAATGCCATTTAACAAAGAAAAATCAACCAAAAAAATGAGTTCGTGTCATAGGTTCACCATCACTGGTTTAGACCAACGTTTTTCAATGTAAGCAAAAAGAGGTACAATTTTTTTAAAAGTTAAGTAACGATTAATCATTAAATATGAACATTTAGATGTCATTATGAACTCAAGATATATTCTTTTGGAAAATTAATATTCGTTAGCTTTGAACAGTGAAAAGCCCTCGGTGCGACGGCATCCCAGTAGTGACAAGCGCATTTATTCCCAGGCTGCTGTCACCTCTGAGAGTACCATTGGCACCCCGCAGGCTGCAATCATCCTACCCCAAGCCAACATCATCTTTCATGTAGATTAATGGTGTCCAAAGAGGAGTTTGTCCTTCTGGAAAGCACAGAAGATGAACCATTGAGAGAAAAAAACCCAAGAGTTTACTTATGTTTAATTTTATCAAGGAAATCAGAAAGACATTATTAAGATTTCCCACAGGCTAATGGGCTGACATGACTGCCCTCCCTAGGTCTATGCATGTCAGGGTTACATGTCTCCTGTGGGCAGTGGGGTGTCCCTCCAGGGGGGCCTCACGTGGCTGTTAGCTTTTAGGGTTTTTGCACATAGTGTGTTTTAGAGACTTGGGGCTGAGAATCGATTAATTTTGAAACCCAGCCTCTATTCAACACTGACAAACATTCTTAGAAAATTCCCGCAGAAGCCAGATTTAAAAGGGTTTAATAATGAAAGCACAAGCTAACACAAAGGAAATTGAACAGTTGATCATTACCTTGCTTCTGATAGCAAGCATTTTTGTCAACCACGGTATGAGGTAAAAACAATAATGATCTAATCGGGTTTGACCAACTGGTCAAAGAATTAAGAATTTTTAAGACTATTTGACGTGGAAAATATTCTATTATGCATTAATAATGAGCATTTGCCTTGATATATTTGCTGGTGCAAGTTAAGCAGTTATGATTAGCAAACATTTTTAAACCATCAGAAATGTAAAATGTAGCTTTACGTCATGTCCTAAATAAAACTCTTCAAAATTATTAAGCACACTTTGTTATATGGCTCTGATGAAAAATTTAAGCACTAATAAAATTTAAAATTAATGTAAAAGTGATCATAGAATATCAACAGAATGTTTTGGTGAATGCAAATGTTTTTACAACATTGATGAAATCATTTGAAGGTTTTTATAAAATTTTTCTGCATATTTTATGTGTTATTTCTATTTCACGTGGTATACTGTCTGATATATATTAGCACTTGGTAAATCTTATGTTATATATAGTGGAGTGCAAGATACAAAACTGTTTATAAATAAGGGCGCACGACCCAAATGTCTGGAGGCGACAGGTCTGAACACTGGCAGCTGCCTAACACACCGCTGGGCTCCCCCCGACAGTCCCCCCCTCACCGTGCATGCGCTTGGGGACTGGTCTTTGTGAAAGTCAAGCATGTGCAGTGACTTCACTGCGGGAAACCTCCGGTGATATTCCAATGACCTTGACAGACTCAGTGTTCTATCTGCTTACAGAGTTCTACAGGGCTGGCTTCCGCCTCATCCTCCCGCATCCTTCTCTACTTCTCTCCCTCTCTTTCTGCCCAATTCACCCCCTCCTTGAGCTTCTTCACACTGACCTTCCAGAAGATCATGTGACTGACACTCTTCCCCTCCACACTCCCTTCTCTTGCACTTATCGCATGAGCACTTATATAGGACTAAAGGTCTGTTGCAGGAAGATTCCTGCAATAATAGGGCTTCCTCGGGCCTATTCCTGCAAGAATAGGGCTTCCTGAGACCGGAGCGAAGCAGAGAAGGGAGCGAAGCCCACTGAGGCGGGCTTCTCTCCCTTCTCCGCTGCCTCACTCCCTCCCTTTGCCGCCTCGCCCTCGGCTCCCTCCCTTCTCTGCCACCTTGGCTCTCTCCCTTCTCTGCCGCTTTGCTCCCTCTCTAGGTCAGGGATCCGGGGCCTGGGTCCCACAGGCAGCGTTGTGTGCTGCCGGCCCCACCTAGCCGGGTCAGGGATCTGGGGCCCGGGGCCCACGAGCAGTGTCACGCGCTGCCGGCCCCACCTGCAGGATGCAAATTGGCCACCATCTTTGTTGGCGGGTAATTTGCAGATTGCTCTGATTAGCCAATGGTGGGCAAGGCGAAGGTACACTCAATTTGCATCTTTGTCTATTATTAGATAGGATGAATGAATGGGGTAGTAAAGATAAATGAGGTAACACACATAAAGCATTACATACACACAGTTTCTGGTAAGGAATGAACAAAAATCGTGATTTTTATCACCGCTGTTATTTTTTCATAATGTTCTGGAAACTAACTGGAAATCTATGGGATCTCTATCCTTAGAAAGAAAGAACAGAATTAATTTACCAGAGAAGCAGTTAACCAAGCCTGTTTTCCAGAATGCCAGTATCCCTCATCTGATACTTTCTTTAAATCTGCAGCTGAAATCAGAATTAAATTAATATCCTTTTGGAACTGGTCCACATAGTTTGAATGGTCAGCCGGTGACACATTCGCCCAGAGAGACATGTTTATGGCGGCCCTGATTTCACCTTCATATGGAAAAGAATTA